CAATATTATTATCTGTTACAAAAAGAACAAAACTGTTCCAATTTCAGGTAAAAAGGTTTGGAAAGAAAGCAAATGACAACTAATTGGAGGGGCAATAAATATATTTTTGTATTTTATTTGAGTGGTTTCCCACCTTTTATGAGATATCATAGTAAGTCATATAGCCTGTACCTGCCACTGGAATGACTGGGTCTTGCCAGAGAGAGTACAATGAATAATCTAGCCATTAATCCTTATTCATTTTTTGTTCCTTTTTATTGTAAGTACGTTTTAGTTTCTTTGAATGTTTTCCTTCACATTGTTACATTACATCACTCTTCTTTTGATCAGAAACAGAGTCCAAATACTAAGCAAAAAAACAACAACCAAAAAAGCAATGCATTTTTATAGTATTATCATACAAGTCTGTAGTTGACCAAAAGACACCTGAAAGACTTAAATATGGAAAAGACCGTTTTTTAAAATGTGTCAAAGGAACCTATTAAAATATAGAAAAAGTATGTTTTTGTATATAGTGCATCCCCAACTAATATGATTCATTTTTGTTTCAACGGGGAATAAAATGAAACATTGAAGGTGGGTAGGTTAGTTAGTTTGAGATGCTCTCCTTTACAGGATATTTCTCCAACACTCTGCAGATACAGCATTAATCCAACTAATGATTGTGTCATTCTATTTACTCAGCCAAACCAGCTGCATTCTGCATTTCATGCACTGCTGCCTGCGTGCTTGATGATGTAACTTCTACACCAAAAACAAACCAATACAAACAATGAAACAATAAACATCACAAATATTTAAACATTTGATGTTAAAATTACAGAATTTTTTCTAAAATTAAGCATGAGAACGTCACCAGAATTCTTTTCTATGCTGCAAAAAAGGAAATATAAGTACGATTCTTTTTTAATCCCCTGGATTGTAGCAAATAGGACTGTGTGCCAATGGAATACAATGATTTACATTTACAATATAAACTTTATTTTTAGTGAACAATATCTAATTGTCTTATATTAATGATAAACATACTCATTCCACTCATAATTAACTGATTGAATTTATAGCAGATACATCTATTTTAAGATAGATAACCATTTTTTCATCAGGTTTTGCAGCTCAAACAAGGTTTAATTATTTTATTTGGTTGGAGCCTATTTCAAGAATGCCTTGGCACAAACCAATATTTCTGGGAAAGCATTCATGAAACAGTAAGGGACAGATATAGTACACTCACAGCAAAGGTATATCATTCATCAAAAGAACCAGGAAGACCCTTTAAAACTCAAATTTACTGTTATTTATAGTAAAAATGTATTTAGGTCTATGGAATCAACACTTTATAACAGTTGTATATTTGATGTAGAAATTGTATGATAAATGGTAAATGGCCTGTGCTAATATAGCGCTTTTTCAATTAGTTCTTGACCAAAGCGCTTTACACTGCATTCAGATATTCACACACACTCTTATACACCTATGATTTAGAATGAATGAAGTGCAGCAAACTGTTAAAGTTTTTAAAGAAATGTAAGCATTCATTGTAACAGCATTTATTATTTTCATTATTTATTATTTAAAAAAGGAATATTCATATAAACTATGAAAAAAAATTCCAAAAAGGATTTTCAAATAAGATGTTTTTATCTAGCTTCTAACATTTGTACTATTTTTATTTTTCAAATTTGTGTTAATGTGACATGCATCCATTTTAAAAGAGATAATAACTCTCAAGGTAAAGGTTGTGTGCATTGACTTAATATTTGTTTACTTTTCATATAAAAGTTTAAGAACTCTATAATATGAGCAAGGTATTACGTATTGCATGAACAGAGCACAGGGTATCAGGGGTCCTTTTGTATTAAAAACATGTAAAATCTCACTGAATAACCATTACATGCAATTCCACCTATAAACAGCTGGTGGGGACAATCAACCAATGTAGTGGTAGCAGGAGGCAGTGGGGGAAATTTCATGACAAGAAGCAGTTAGGGTGGGATAAAATATTCTGGGGTTATAATACCTGTAATTTAAATTATCCCATACAGAGTTTACATGTCGCTTTGCAGTTTTTTTAGACTTTAGGTCCCTCTCACAAAATAAATAAATAAATAAATAAATAAATAAATAAATAAATAAATAAATAAATAAATAAATAAATAAATAAATAAATAAATAAATAAATAAATGCCACAGTTGTCAGGATGGCTAAGTGAAGGGGTTTAAGTAGATGTCTTGAATATGAAGAACTGCTCACCTCTTGTAACGCAGATGCTGCAGTGTTTTGTGGGGAAAAAGAGTTGAATCAACAGGCAAATCTTTTGATTTACTGCTATGGACAGCTTTCGACTTTCCCCCAAGGTTATGGGATAAAGATCATGACTGAAAAATGAGACACTGAATGCACGCAGCTGAGAAAATTTTCACTGTTGGATGGATGGATTGACTCACACTTTGAAATACAGTAGTGGGAGGAGTACTGACATCTGGGGTGACCTCAGAAGAATAGATACTTATCCTGATCAAAAGGAGTCCTTAAAATGGTTCTAGTCCACCGTTTAGGTAAACCTGTTTTCTGACATGTATTTATAAAAAAGAAAGCATTGACCTCAGGAGTTAGCTCAAGGTGTTTCTGAGTAAAATAGATTCTTAGTTACAGGCATCCGCATCTAAGTTTTGCAAGCATTGTTAATTGATTACCTCTTAAAGTTATCAATTCTTTTAACAAGATGTTTCTTCTGACTTTCAGTCAGGTTTACAAGCTCACCACAATGGAGAGACTCTCTTTGTCAAAGTGACATTTGTATAAATAAAGACTGTTGAAGAACCACAGTGTCGGTATTGTTTGTCGTTAGTGCAGCATTCAACTCTGTTGATCTATTCATTTTATTAGAGCACCTGTAAAACTTGTTTGGCCTTTGTGGTCTGCCACTGGACTGGTTTAACTTGACTTAGTTATTATTTACAGGTTTCCCTAAGCTAAGATTATAACAAAAAAATAAAGTTACCATAAATATGCAGATGATGCACAGCTTTACATTACACTTTAACCAGATGATTGAGCCTTTCAGAAACTGGGTATCTGGGTGGAGCAGTGGTTAGTGTGCACGACCCATGCCTTAGTCCTCGACGCGGCCGACCCGGGTCTGAATCAGGCCTGTGGTCCTTTGCTGCATGTCTCTCCCCCTCTCTCATACCCCATTACTTGTCAGCCTAATGTCAGAAAAACGAGCCACTAATACCTTAAAAACTAAAATAAATAAATAATAATAATACAAACTCTGGGTATCGCCATCAGCTATGCCCTCACTAAAACCAAAAATGTAGAGCACCTCACCCCAATTCTAAAGCCCTTCCACTGGCTATAGAATTAATGTCTATTACTCTATAAATCACTTATGGCTTAGCACCAAAATACATTACAGACATGTGAGGGTATCAACTGCCCCGACCTCTCAGGTGTGCTTATTTTAATACTGAGACCCTGGACCAAACATAGAAACCAAACATTTGGTTTGTATGTTCCACAAATGAAACAAACTCTAAGAAATTTAAATTGGAAAACTAAACCCTAAATTGGTTTACATCAACATTTGTTTAGCGTTGGTTTTGAATGACCTGTCATTTCGCCCATGGAGATGGGCACCAGCCCCAGTGACCCTAGTGGATAAGCATCAGAGGATGCATGGATTGCTTTGACTGTTTTTTTTCAGTTAACTGAAACCTCATTTAATGAAGTTTTTTGTCCAACTTCTCTTCACCTGCCACTGTTATGCCTCTTCAATGTTCAGTTTTCTGTGCATTTGTCTTTTTCTGTGTGTACATGTACAGCAATGTGAGTTGTCTTGTTACTAGATGTATACCTACTGTACAAATAAACTTGCCTTGCGTGATATAGACATTTAGGGGAGTGGCATTGTCAGACCACTGAACTTTATCCAATCGTTCATTTGTGGAAAGTACCAAACATTAGGGTGATGGCCAGGAAGCTTTCCATCCAGAGGAAAAACAAACAAACAATTTAACTGGTTTTATTTGGTTTTATTTTATTTTAGATTTAACTGAATTATGAATATATTAAAATGCATTGTTTTATAGAAATTGTTTTTTTTTTAGATCATTTAACTCATGGGAGAGATGTCATTCCAATTTTCCACTGAAAAAAAAACCGTTTTGGTTGAATAAAGAAAAATAATTTAAATGAATCTAGATTAAAATGGCTCATTTGAATTCTACCAAAGGGCTTCGTGGATGAGAATCAGAATGACTTTATAATCCATTGTTGTTTTTTTTATTTTATTTTATTTTTATTTTTTTTTCAGTTTAACCATTTACAGGCGAAAAAAAAAAAAAAAAGATTGCAAGTACAAATATGATATAACAGTAAAATAAGATAAGGATGGTATGTGTGTGCTACCTAAATAATAAGTAAAAGTAAGTCTTGGAACAGGTTTCTCAAGCCAGGTGGCGCAGTCGGAAAACATAATTTTACCCTAATTTTGTGTTAAGGGCAGGAGACTTTTGTTTATTTTTTGCAACGTGGGGCATCTAGCCAAGGCAATGTTTTAACGACCAGGCGGTCATTGTTTGTCAGCAGCATGAAATTAATCCCAAGCTAAACTTTTTCAAGAAGGTTGGATTTAGAGCGCTTACTGAATTTCAGCACCATGGAGAGAACACAGTCTCTCTCTGCTTTCTGAATAGTCAACATTAAGAAACAACAGAAACGGCTCTACGTGGATTTTCTGTAATACTAGAGCTATTTAGCAACACTACTGGACTGAATACATTTGGTTGGATTCTATCCCTGCTTCAAACAAACATCGTCATCAGAAAAAATCCGTGGAGAAATGCATATTTATACATGTAAAATGACTCATCTGAGCCACTTCCAGTTGACCTGTCATGTCGGGTTGCATTCCAACCATTTCGCTGGTTAAGTAACGCGTTATGTAACACAGCGGGGATGTCGGGAACATTGAGTGCGCATCATAAAAGCTCCCTATTCCTGCCCAGTCTGTTGCTTCTCATCCAGTCTTCATCCTTCCGTCAGAGCGAGGCTGGTACCGACAGCAGCAGCATCCTCAGCAGCAGCAGCAGAGCAACTAAGCCCCGCTGTGAATCAGCTGACGCGCATTCTGGGGGAAAATAACCAACATTCTGGTAGGTGTTTTACACCATCTTCCCTCTATATGGATTCGAACAAATAAAACGAGATATTATTGTATGAATTTGAAATGAAAGTGAAACTTCTCTGGACATGGGAGGTGGCCCGATGAGCTGTTTACAAGTTCAAACGCGTTATTTTAAAACCTTTTGTTATAAAACCCAAATATTTCACATCGTCTAGGCTATTTTAAAAGCTACCTTGCTGAAATCGTACTTAACGTTAGAGTCGCATGTTTTTCTTATTTACTTATTGTTTTTGTTTGAGCCAAAAGGCTGATCAAACAAAACAAAAAAATAAATAAATCTATTTTTAGACCTACACTCTATTTTCAGCCAACACTTATTTGGGGGTTATATTATATAATGTAATAAGACAATGAACCCCGTTATGGTTGTGAACTGAGAAGAGGTAAACAAAAGGACTGGTGTAAACACATCAGATGTCATCTGCATTTCTTTACAGGGTCTCTGTTTCTGTGTGATGACTCAACTAATCCCACCAGTGATGTAATTTTTATGTTAAAAAACATGCTGCATTGTTTAAAGACCGTATTTAGGAGTGGTTTCGGGGAAACTGTGTCAAAACATGGGGAACAACTGGCTGTGATGATGGAAACTGGGTGTAAACAAAGCTCCTGCTTCTGTTTGATCATGTTTGATTGGTTTCATTCTTTTTTGAATCGAGAAAGATACAATCAATGAATCTTGTTATCCACACCTAAAAACTATTGTTTTTTGTGTTTTATTTTAATGTAAGACCAACCTTTTTAAACTGTGTCACAATGGGGTGGAGGATTTTGAGGACCCAAATCCAGAGACCAGGAGGCAGAGGTGAATCTTGAAGATTTAATGAAGAACAGAGGCAGACAACCAAAAATCCAAAATACTATTGTTTGTTTTTTATTTGTTTTTATTTTATTTTCATAAAAATAAATAAATAAAATACTAAGAATAAAAAAAACTGAAAGAATCAGGGAACATTCATGTGGAAAGCCAGAGATGAAGGAAAAACAAACAAAAACAAGGAACCAGCACTGAATGACTGTAGAGGCGGAGTATATAAGGGGAAAAGAACACAGGATGGGCTAATAAGCTGAATATGAAGCAGGTATGAGTGGAACTGACTAGAAGGAAGCCAAGGAGAAAGGAAACAAATACAAGGCGGCAACAGAGAGTAATTAAAGACTGCTTAAATCTACTGGAAAATAAGACAAAAATCAACAAAACAGAATAACTGAAAAATAAACTCAGATTGTCCCATCGAAAATGAACCGAGTGGGTCATATGGATTTAAAAATGGGGTAAACAGCTCAACATTAGGCTTCATAAGAGATCAACGTTATAAAAAATACTCTGGGGTGGATTAAGGGAATTAATATCAACGCCCACTCCATGCTGTTTGGAAAGGACACCATCTGGGTGGGAGGAAATGTTCCAGAAGAGGTTTAAAGACTTGTTTATCAACAGCTAACCAGCAGCTTTTTCAAAGTCAGAATGTTCTAGATTCTCCTGTCAAAATATCAGTTTGCCTAATAAAGCTACAGTATCAGGTTTGAAGTATTAATCTCATCTTACCTGTAAAGTGTTAAGGTTCAGCAACATTTTCTATCGAGCTAATTCATTATTGCAATACTACAGTTGGCAGTCTCTTACTGGTGATTTAACACAATCTTTGTGAGTGTTTTGTCTTCAAGGGAAAAGTATTTTCCCTGGATATGTATATACAGTAACAGATTTAGCTAGCTGGATAGACTTTCACTGTTCACAATGTCCACTTAGAGGACATTAAGCTAATGGCAGAGAAAGAGAAGAATGGAAAAATGTGGTCTATGAAGAGAAAATTATATCAAAACACTACATTTATATCCCATTCTATCATTTTCTAGCAGTGGTGCAACATGAAAAGAGATGCATGGAAAAGTCTGATAGAACTTGATTCCTTGCTGAAGTGACTTTATTTTTCTGAGTTAAATGTAGCAGTGGTGCATAAAGTAGACAATCAGAAACATGGGAATCCCAGACTAAACATTTTGTAGCACAGACAACTGGATTGAGATAAGCTTTCTGATATTTGTTCCAAAAAAGTTTTATTTAGCGAGACGTAAGTGAATTCAACTTAAGATATACTTTTTCAACGATGTTGACACTTCAAACTAATTAAGTTTTATTCTAATTAATAAATATTCAAGTGGATAAATTAATGGTCAAGATTTAACATTTATCATCAACCAGCAGATTAAGCTTAGTCTTCTTAGGCAGCCCTGTGAATGGTTTATTTGCAGGGCTTTTTCTAGGCATATTTTTTCTTCTCTTCATTATGCCTGTTTATAAGTGAGACTTGCTTTAGTATTTATGACTACTTTTTGAAAAGTATTTGGTCCTGGATAGACCCATATGAAAATGAATATCCAGGAAAATCTTTTTTTTACTGAAAATCCAATGTGTCAAAAAAGGGAACTTTATAGTCCCTAAACTTTCTTTGATTTAGCTATGTAATTTATTGAAAATACTTCTAGCCTCTGTACATGTCCATGTTTTCAAGTTAGAAAAGAAAGAGTTACTGTTAAAAGAAAGCTCAAAATGTTTGCCACACCTACTGTAGATGAAAGGAGGAATTAAGGACAGATAACACCAAATTTAGACTTTTAGAACCTTGTGCATAAAACCATATGAGGCATAAACTAGCCCTAAAAAAATGATCATACATGAAACATGGTGTCTGGAGCAACATATTGAGTCGATACTTTTCCTCAGCAGAAGCAAGGGAGGTGGTCATAACGTAGTTTATGGAAAATGTCTGGAGTTGAAGACATGCCAATCCTGTGAGAAAATATTTTAGTGGCTGCAAAAGATTTGATCCTTAGATGGAGGTTTAGCCAAAACATATTCATGTATTAAACCAGTTAATGTTAGTCTTTCTTTTATGAAAACTTATAACCACGTCCCATATGTTCCACTTGGAGTTTTATTTCTCTCGTTTTTTAAGGACAATTGCCAGTCTAACCCATTCCATATAAGTACTCCTGCTTTATTTTGCCAATTCTTCAGGCTAATATTACTTTCTCTTCCTTCAGTTACTTGATAAAAAGTTCACAGTGATAATAAACGTTAAAATACTCTCAGTTTGAATATTACTCTCCTCTCAGTTTAAACATTATTTAGCATATCAAAGAAATCAATGCCTTGTAAATGGAGGGAATGGCACTGCATGCATCTTGCATGATTTTAAGGCATGGCTGCTGAATGCACAAATTAATTGGCCAACACATTGGCCAAAACTAATACAAAAAACACTAAAAAGAAACTGTAATATCAAGCTAAACTATAACACAAAATCCAGTTTAAATACAGTGAAATGTGTAATATCTAATTGTTTTTGAATTACTGGAACATTTACTATTTACTATTCTTATTGCTATAAAAAGGAAAAAACTATTATGCTTCCCATAAAGCATTAGAATATATATTTTTTTTTCCCAAGGACAAATCTCAGGATGAGCACACTGTGCAGAGCTGCTCCTCTTTTTTTTCCTGCTCCGTTGCTAAGTGTGTTGCTAGGGCAAGGCTGTTTAGTATTGGTACTTATAATCTGATTCTTTCTTGTTGCCACACAGCTGGCTGATGTGATACTGCTCTTCAATAGGGGGCGTGGGCCACCCATGTGACTGAAGTCACCTCAATCCGTTTCTAAAAATGAGCTGAGCTTTTATTCCCCTAACACTCTGGCCTGTTTTAGCAATTATCTCTGGGCCTCTGTGATTTAAAAAAAAAAGAAGCATTTTGTATTATTCTGGGTTACCTATAAAAGACTAATAGCTGTTAATATTAGAAGATGGTCACATATAGTTTTTTTTTTTTATGTGAAGCCAAAGCATATGGAAATGTAAAATTCCAAAGCGTAGGGATCTATGATAACATTTCTAATAGAAAAAGACACACGTATATTTATGCACTTATGCAACTCACCCACTTATGCAATCAACAAGGGAGTAGAAGTGAAGCAACTGTATAAAGTTTTTCCAAGCATGGCTAAAAAGCTACATTATTTAGCTCTTTAGCATCAATAAGAAATGTTTCAAGATTGTTTCTAATATGCATGAACTAAAAACAAGGTACGTTCTTACTCAAGTCCTTTCCTACTGAGTGTTCTTATTGAAACCCATTAAAAAGGAGGATCTATTATCTCTCCATTCTCCATTATATCCCACTGATTGAAGCACTCTGCTGCTTTTGGCAGACAGCCCCACATTACTGGCACAGATGGCTCTGAGCAAGTGTTCGTGTTGCGTCATCGACTGTATCACAGAACTGTGAAGTTCTGTTATCCTTAATGTCTAAAATTAAATCAAAAGTCCCTTCCAATAGCATCCACATCTCTGTCTATTTTTTTTTCTTGTTTCAACCATAAACCTCTTAGGGTATTTTGTTGGGATCTTATGTGACAGATGAGTACAATAATATGTAAACATATAATTGTGACATTATTGAAACATGGATTTTCTATATAAAATTAAGTAAAACTTGCAGCTAATTTTCTATATCTTGGTGATTTACATGTTTACTGACTGATATTGTTGCCTACTGTCTTTATCAAAATAACTAATGCTAATTTAGATTGAATTTAAATGAGTCTCGCCCAAAATTATTGTTTGGATTTAGGTTCAGGCTTTCTATGGGACATCGCAACACAAAAATGTCCGAATATTTCCAACAGGTTTCAATTAGACCCTAAGAGCAAAGGGAGCTAAATATAGAAAGCATGTGACCCCTTTTAATATTTTAGAAAAAAAGATGAAATGAATGAGTCCTTTCCAGGGACTCTACACTTAAATTATTTCCGTTTCCCCAACAGGTAAAGACATAAGAGAGGCAGAGCAGGTTTTCTTTACTGTATAGGATTTGTCTGTCCAATATTTCATTGAATTCTCTAAGAGCTCCTGCATTTTTGTAAACTTATCCTCATGAAGCCCTGTGTTAGCTTAAACCTTTGCTCATAACTTGAGTTCAACAAATTAAAAAGATAAAAATGCTGGATGAGACTTTTTTCATTTATATCCGGCTCAAAAGTTCCTGTGCCATCTGTACCAGGAATGGGTGTGCTTGTGTGTATGCAGAGGGTGGGATTTAGTGGTGTAAGGTAGTGGAGTTCAGACAGAGGGCTCTTGTCCTTAAACAGCTCCAGTGCCACGTCAAAATGCTGCCCCAGGCATGTTTAATACTAAAGATAAATCACTGGATTTTTGTTTTATCTTCTGTTCATTAGGGAATAAGGCTGTGTCAAGCAAGATGGGGCCATTCCAAGAATATGAGGTGAGTCTCCTCTTTGCTTTTATGTACTTTGATAATAATCCCATTTAGGGAGCTTTTTTGAAGCATTAATGCAATAAAACTGTCACTATAATAAGTATATAAATTATATAAACTACTACCCCTTGAGCTTTTTTCATATTTTTTCACTTGAGAACCATACCTGTAAACATTTTTATAAAATATGTTCTTTTTAAGGGTGTTGGTCATGCCTTCTACTCAAATCTGAAATCCAATCAAGTCAGTGATTAAATAGTGTCTATCCTAATGGGGATAATGTTGTTGGAAAGCTTAAAGGCTTTAAAGTTATATAAAAAAAAAAGATTATTCCAAGGTTTAAACATCTGGTAGAAAATGAAAAGATAGTATTGCAAATCTATCAACACATGACCATCCACCTAAAGTGACAGACAGGGCAATGAGAGCTTTCATCCTAGTGGCCAAGAGCCTTAAGGAGCTGCAGATGTCCAGAGGGTCCTAGACGCATTTTGCCATTGGATAGAGGTATAAAGAATAAATAAATAGGAAGACTTGTTTTAAGAATAAAGCCACAAACAGGGGACATAGCAAACATATAGATGAGGCTGTGCTGATCAAATGAAACCAAAATATGAAACTTTTTTGCAAAACATATAAAGGACAAAAAAATAAAACCATGCATCACCATGTCTCACCAAGGATGCACTACAGTACATCCTTGGTGAGACATGGTGGCAGCATCATGTTGTGTGGATGTTTTTCTTAAGGTGTTATATGAAAGCTGGGTCAGAGCTGATGTAGCCCCAAAGAAAACCTTAAACATACTTCAGAGCTACAATGGAATGATTTAGATTTAAATTTGGGGTTTGAATACATTGCACCACTGTATTTATGAAAAAAAAACTACAATTATGCTAATTTCTCTTCATTTTGACTTTTTACTGATCAACATTTAAAATAGGAAAAGAAATCCCCTGAGAAAGGAAGTCCACGCAGCCGGATCCCACGTTTGGTCCTCCATCCTTTCCCTCCAAAGGACAAAGGATCTCCTCTGTCTGATTCCCTTTTATCCGAGGAGGAAGGGAAGGAGTGTGACATCAGTTCCGAGCACTCCAAGAGGACCATCAGCACCAACAGTTTTTGCTCTGGTAAGAACTTTAGATGCAGTCTAAGATTAGAAACATTTGTTGTTGTTTTTCACAGAAAAATATTGGTGCATATTTTGAGCTCAAACTCAGTTGCCTTAAACCGTTCCAGGGCCCTCAGTGAAATACTATGAAAATCAAACTTTCAAGCCAATAATGTTATTATGGGCCCCAAGATAATGACAAGACCTCATTATCTTTGTAACATTCAAATAATATGGATCTTTTGATGGCAAAAATGAATGTCAATGTAATAACAGAAAACGTCAACTTGCCTAAATATATTTAAAAAAATCAGAAAAGTGGTTCTATAAGGAATTCATGAAAAAAAACTCTAAGTGAAAAAGACATAAGTTTTTTTTTTTTTTTGGTACAACATAACCTTAGAAGCAGTAATGCTAATACTGGCACTTAGATTTCTTTTAGTTTAGAACCCTAAATATAATTGTTAAGGAGGCTTATTAACTTTTTAACTTTATTTTTTAACTTACTTTACTTACTTCAGTTTTTTTCTTGACTAGTTAACTTTTTTACAATAGGTTATATATCATTCAAGGACTCAACTAATTGGTCAACGCCAAAATAAGATGCACAGCTATGTAGCCGTATCTCTGCTGAATGGCTGGATATAAATCTTGTGCTTCTAGATCTCACTGAGGTACTCCATTTGTAAGGGGTATGCCAGTGATCAGAAAAGGTAACTTGCCCTATGAACAACTTCAGGTCTGGTGTCCTATTACATTACCTTGGTTGTATAATTAAATTTGCACTAAGTCATATTAAACACAGCAGCTAAACTTAGTCCTGCCTGCTATACACCAGAAGGTGCTTGTGTGTGAGCAGAGTTGATGAACCCTTACTGCATTGTCAGCCAAAAAACATCTGGGGCTGAATCTGGTGCTGATTGACTGCTTGTGTTGGCTGCATGCTCTGCCTTGCATGTTCGTGGCTGTTACTGGTCTGTGTGCCTGTCTACAATAGATGACACCGGCTGCCCCACTAGTCAGTCTGTGTCCCCCTCCAAAACCCCGTCAGGCTCAGAGCAGAGCGCCAATGGGTCGCCGACACTGCCAGAGCGCAAAGCCAAAGTGAAGAGGGTGAGGGTGATGGCAGAGAGCGGAGGAGAAGCCCGGAGCAAACAGAGGCACAAGAGGGAGCTAAGGTCGGCCCTGAGAGCCCGAGGTAAAGTACAAGATAGAAATATACAACAAAATGTGTTGTTCTTCAGGAAATATTAACAATGAGATATTAAAGTTCTCTTTTCATAATTTATTAGATCTTTCTTCAACTTAATCTTTCTAATCAGTTTTTACTTATAGGCTTCTGTCTAACTATTTGACCCTAGAAATCATAGTACACTGATAGCATAAGTTATACATCAGCAGTACAATGAATCTCAATGAAATCTCCAAAACTTTTAGGGTTTAGTGTTTACTTCCTAAAAGAAGAAAAAGATATATTTATCTTCCGTTTAAGGTTGTTCAGAAACAGTGGTTCCTCTTCATCCCCAATTAAATTTCCTGGTCTTTAATCTAGGAATAATAGAGGGGGGAAAAAAACAACTGATTGTGATTCAGAGCCAAGAAGGAAGCTGATTGGTTGTGGGAAAAGTTTGGGAGCTCAACCAATTAGTCTGATTAGCAGGAGGTTACTTCTCTCTCTGAACAGACAGGAGCCTCAGTTGACTCACAAAGTGGTGAAGGGTCACAGTCAAGTTTGAGAGTTACTTTATCTTTCACAGACGTTACTAAACACGCTACTATGGTGTTGTTTGATGGAAAAAGATGTTTCTCAGGTAGGACTTTAAAAGTTTAATTGTTTTGATAAGTAGTAGTAGTAGTAGTAGTAGTGAAGACGTCTGACTTAAGTTTATCCTGTTTGTTTCTTTATTTTATTTTTGTTGCCTTGCAAATACAATATTTTTTTGTAATCCAACATATGCATGAAAGTATAATACAAATTACAAAGCACAGAAACAGCGAATAAATTCTCTGAAATGTAATCTTCAAAATCAACATTTTAATGGAATTGTTTCAAATTATTATGGCCAATAATAGTTTATTAATAATGGACACAGATTTGAGGATGGTAATCATCATCAAACCTATCATCAAAATTTAATGCTAGACAGGTGTAAATATCAAATTTTGTTGTTGGGTCAGAAACATTTCCATAGAATGTAGGCAAATATTTGAAATAGGAGATGCCATTTTCTTTTTCCAACTTCATTTGCCTTCCCTTAAACTAATTAATAATTTATTCATTTTAAAGATTTAAAAAAAAGAACAGCCTTTTAAAAATCCTGTTAATGTTTTTAAATAACCTCCAAAACAAAGAAAATGTTCTGAATCCCAACTTATATGATCTTTCTGTGGATGGAAAAAATTAATCTAGGGTTTTATCAGATGTTGTCTTTCAAATACTACAGCTACTTTTTCTGGATGCCTCTATTAAGCAAAATTGGGGGGAAATGGGTTAGGTAGTGGAACCAAGGTATATTTCTAATTTGTTTTTTCCCCCCAAAGTTGATTTAATCAGAATAGCTTCCTTAGCCTGAGAACCGTTACTCACAGGAATCAGATGCAGGGGTGGATTTAAGAAATTAGGGGCCCTAGACGAAAACAGGCAGGGGCCCTCTGAAATTAGAAGAAAACACATCTCACTTAGCTGATTGCTCCTTCCTATTTTTCCAAAAAGGTGATGGCAAAAGTAAAGCAACTGCTGTCAAAAGTACTGACAGCAGACAAGATGGAGGAGAGCAGGAGACGGGGTTACCAATCTACTTGCTCTGGAGAGCAGAGTTTGCTTCTTTTATATGTTGTTGCCAAAGTCTCCAGTAGCAGAAAAAAAAAGTTGCTAGATTTGGTCCTAGGCGCATTTTTGAAATAAAAGTGCTAGAGGGGTCTGAAAAGTTGCTAAATGTAGCAACAAAAGCTCTATTTTGGCATGCGGCTGTATTTTATTTTACTTTGGTTGGTGCATTTGTTTACTTTTTTTTTAAAGTATTTTTTGCTCTTTCTTTTACTTAACATATGCTAGCATGCTAACACATAAACTGCTCCCCCTGCAGGCAGTGAAGCAGATTTCAGTTCCTCCAGCAGCACAGGCAGCCTGAAGACCAAGGAAAGCCTCACGTCAAGTTCGGTTGGAAAGAAAGTTTCTTCACGCTGGTATGTTTACAGAATCCTCTTCTTTCATTTGAGTTTCTAATTTGAGTAAGTTTAAAAATGTGTTTTTTTTGTTTTTATACCTTCATCAAATGTATTGAAGTCGTGGCTCTCAAATCAGAACGCTCCACGTATTCAAACCAGCTGGGCTCCCATCTGTGAAGCATGATTCAGAACTTTATGCTCCCTGCAGGACTCCTCCCAGAGCTGCTTCTTCAACGCTCAGCAGCAGCAACTCCAGCCCGACATCAAGGTACTACATAAATAATTCTACATGTAATGAAAGGCTCTGGTTGCCATTAGCACCATGAACACCCTAATGTTTTGCCTTTAAATTATTTAAAAAAATTTGCCCTGAGGGAGAAATGATGGATTTTGATTATGAGATTTTAAGTTTTTCATAGAATGGCGATGAATGGGTGTTGGGATTAAGATTAGACTGTCCATACAGCACTGGGATTACACTGGTTATAGTGTGACGGGGAATAATGAGGACTTTATCGAGCAAATCTACTCTGACATTTCTCAGCCTGACTCAGTACATTTGAGAGAGCGGGGAGATCTGGAAACTTCCATCATTAAACTTTTAGTCTTTTGGTCATTAAAACATGAATGTGACCCAAAAAAATATTTAATGCACAAAATTAAATTTATTAAAATTTTGGACTTCCCTTTTTTTTTTTTTCTGTCTGCATAGATTCTTCCTTATCTTCTGCTTGCAGCTTAATCCTCAACTGCTCCCGCTTTAGAGCCTGTCCTTTGACAGCTCTTTTTGCCTGTATTGCCATTGTCATGTGACATCCTTTCTTCCCCAGTGTTGCCTTCTTCTAGGCTGTTCTATTTCGGGCAGGGAGCCAGAGCATTTGCATCAAAGGCCTCAAGTATTCCATGTTGCTAGGATATTGTGAGAGAGCAGTGCTTACATCCTGCTTTGTCCAAATCAACCCTCTGCTCATCTGAGAAACAAAAAAAAATAACCCTATGAATTAAAGGACTTAAACAATATCAGCTTTCTAAAAAAATCTTGAAATCTAGACATTTGTGCAAGTGAGATTTCTTGCTTAAGTGAGACTGCTAGTAATCCTGTGTCAGCGAGTAATTCCAGGCTTCAGAGCATCTGCCCTGACAGCACACTGTCAGCCAGGATAATTACCTTTAGCAGAATAGTCACTTTGCTTTTTAAGTCAGTTTTTTTTTTTTTGCTGCGGCTTTAAAATGTCTTGTTGAAGACAGATGGGAGAATTGTTCCAGAGGTGGTAAATGTTTCAGCTCACTACTATCGCCAACTGTGCTTCAACAGAAGATTGAGTTTGGGCCGCTATCGCTCCTGTGGGGAAAACCATGGAATCAGACCCCCGAACCCGGAGCAGTACCTAACCCCACTGCAGCAGAAGGAAGTGGCCATCAGACACTTGAAGACCAAGCTGATGGAGTCTGAGAACAAAGTTCATGACAGGTACCGCATTACTGAAACTACGTCTTTAATGGTCAATAATGAAAAAGAAACTAAAAAAGACCAGACTTTCTTTTAAACCAAATGAACACTCCATCCAGTTTATGTACTGTTCACAAAATGTTTGTTTTAACTTAGAAACTAATGCCAGATAAGTTACTATTTACAAAGTATTTAGTACAGATACAAATTGAAAAGATGGCAGGGCAGACTGAAAAGTAATTTTTTTTCATACCACCTTATAAATAGGGTTCCAGCTATGACTTAATTGCATCTGCAGTACAACACCATAAAAAAAACTCATGCAAGTTACCCATTAGCCCTCCTCCTGACTCCTGATTTAGTGTAAAAGCTCCAGAATGAGTCCTCCACTGATTTTATACACTTTGTGCTCTGCTGAGTATGCAGTACACTCGGTTGGTTTGTTGTAGTACATCTCTAGTGAAATGGTCAGCAGGTCATTACATTTCCAAGTGGAGCTTAATGTGGGAATAAATCTTAATTTTAAATGTTAATTTTATAAAGACTTTGAGAAACTTTGACTTAATTTGATTTTCAACGGTTTGTTCAGAAGGTGATCAATAACACCACCTTGTTTGCTTCAGACTTTGCATCTACAATAGCCTCCATCATGGTTTGTTTGTCCTTCGTTGGCTCAAACATTCGGCAATGGCTGGATCCATTAGAACTGGAATGCTTCCTCAGGGAAAACATCAATCTGACTGGATCAAAAGGATTCGGAATCCACATCAAAATCAAGTTGCTGATTTGACTACCAATGCTGACAGATAGACTTTCTTCCATGTACCAAACCTTCCTTTATTCTGAACCATTGTTGTTACTTCCAACATTCTGAGGTTTTCCAGATATTTACTAAATTACAGAAATGGGATGTTTTGCTTTTTGTTTTGTTTTTTTTTAATCTGTCTAAGCATTGCCCTTTAAAGTTTTTCTTTTATTTAAATGAATATTCATTATTTCTTTTTCTGTAATACTTTGGGGAAAAGAAATGCACCTCTTGCTTTTTGGCTTATGATGGTTAGATGACTGCTTTTGAAGAAACACTGTAGACATACCAGTAGCAAAGCAATAAAAGAATAAAATAGGTCAAAAATAAATTAGAAAAGAGCTATTGTGTACAAAATATATACAGGTCTTTGGCTGAGGCTTTCTCTTATGATGTATACAAAATATTTTTTCCCCTGACAATTTCTTTCTAATTTACTAGAGAGAATGAGATTGAAGAGCTCAAGACACAGCTTTGCAGAATGAGGGAAGACTGGATTGAAGAGGAATGCCACAGAGTGGAGGCTCAGCTGTCCCTCAAAGAAGCTCGCAAGGAGATCAGACAGCTCCGCCAGGTGGTGGAAACTATGAAGAACAGTCTGATGGAGAAGGATAAAGGGATACAGAAGTATTTTGTTGATATCAACATCCAAAACAGGAAGCTGGAGTCCCTCCTGCAAAGCATGGAGCTTGCCCAGAATGGTTCCACCCTTCAAGACGAAGGTGCCTTGGAGTTTATGTGCGACAGTCCCGAGGGAGGGGGTAAGAAGTTGTTGGGGGAAGAAGGGTGTGGGATGGAGCTGGGGAATGCGGGAGCAGAGGCAATGGCAGACAGTGGGCTTCTGGTGAATGATGAGATGGCCAACAGAGATGATATTTTTGAGCAGGTTTTCATGTCTACTGCAGTGGATTTTAGTCAGGACTCCAGCTGCAGGCCAGGGCCCCAAGTTGAGACTAGCGCTGGTAAACCCGCACTGATAGACGGACATTTGGTGGCAGCATCTAGTACACCCACAGCATCCCCAACAAATGCAGTTGTATCTAGAGATACCATCTCTTCAAGCAAACTTTGTCACCAGAAAACGGATGATAAAGAAGTTCAGACTGATATTTTTCCCATATCTCCAGACCTGCAGGCTCTACTACTTCAGCTTCTGAAGTACAATGGAGCGTCACTTGGGGATTCAGCTCTTGTAGCTCCCAGTGGTCCCCTGGGATTCCCAGTCTTACCCTCATCTACATTCACTCTTGATCACTCTGGCTCAGACCGTTCACAGCCCAGCATGGTAATTGATGGTCCACATGTTAAAAGTTGTTGTTCAGACCCAACAGAGAGCAGCCGGTTCATGGCAGAGCTGGACTTTGGTGTCTATGAAGAGAAATCTTTGTCGTCTAAAAGGCTAGACTTGGTGGATAAGCAGTACTGGAGCAGCAGCTTCCTGGTTGATCTGGTGGCAGTGGCAGCTCCAGTGTTGCCCACTGTGGCCTGGCTGTACTCACGGCACGGTGTAGATGGAACTGCTCCAGTGTACAACATTGGAGCTTTGATAAGGGGCTGTTGCATCATGGGATTGCACTCACTTCGTCATGTTGCTCGTAGGCCAAACGCATAATCACTTTAAATTTGCATGCTCACGCCTGACTTTGAACTTTCACATTGCCAAGGGTATTATGTTTTTGTTTTTTTGTTTAACACCTGATGAGATTATTGGAGCTTTCTAGGGTTTAAACACTTATTTTTGCACTCTACAGTTGGTATGGATGGAAGCTCAGTGGTGACCAAAGAGTATTTATTTAAATGTAATACGCAGATCATCTGAGTAGATGGTTATGTCCTGTAATGTTTCCTTTTCCATTTATTTATTTTTTTCAAAAGCCATTAAGAAATGAGACTGAATGGTATTTTTTTTTTATTTGTAATGTTTTGTGCTGCTGTTAATGAAGAAACCTTAAACCTTCAGCCAAAGCTTTAATGTGAGTTCACTGTTTTGTGAAATTCCCTCACTTGACCCTTTCTCTTAAGTAGAGCTTTACCTGTACAGCTTATGTATGGTTCACACAAATAATGTTCATGCTTTATAGATACCTGATGCTTGTTCTGTGCCTGAGCAATGTGCAATATTGTTGGTTTACATCAAATTTCATTGTAAGCTTATTAATAAAGCATGATAATTATGGGCATATTTGGACTCTGTTTTGATCTCATGAACAAAATCTCTGTCGGACTTTATGTACAGTAAGCTGTTAAGATGAAAGGCTTGTGGAAAATCTAAACTGGTAATCTTATTTTTTTTCCCCATTTGGTTTAGGTTTTTACATAAAGAAATAAAATACTAAAAGTATTTTATTTCCAAAGCTTCAAGCTGTCCAGGGTAAAATGCCTCAAGCTGTGTTTTTAGAGGTCCCCAGAGTTCCACTGGACAGCACCGAGTGCACTACTTGGAATCCCTTAAAATACTGACACTGAAAAATATCAACCCATTGGCAAAATAATTGTAAGACCCTTATTCTGTCATTCCTGAAAATCAAAAAATGAGCTGAAAGTTGATTCCACCCCCAATGCCATATGGTGAAATTGTTGCATAACTGTTGCATAACATATTAAACTGTAATTGATTAATAAAGCAGTAAATCTTTAAATCAAGCTTAAGAACACACTTCCTTCTCAAACAGCCCGAGATCCTGCTCTGAGGCTTAACCCTAACCCCCGCGCTACTGGAGATGAGCGGATTTCTCTTTTTAAAGTGGGTCAGTTTCCCAATTGTTTTAGCAAGCAGGGAAAGTCCCCAGGACGGCAGCTTTGATGCTTTAATGGGGGTTAAATGAGACCGACTATAAATGCAGTTGAATCTTACAGGAGGTTTTAAGTAGCCTATACACATTTTCATAGTCTGTGCGGCTCTCATTTTTCATGTACTGTACTCCCTGCATTGGTAGGTTAATTCCCAAGTCCAAGGAAAGTCCAGAGTATTATGATTAAATGCTTTATGTTTCTGGGTGAATGGTTGTGGTCCTGTCCAGGATGTACCCTGCCTCTCATCCAATGGCTGACGAACCCAGCAAGTGAGACCATGTGTAAGTGATTGATGGATAGTAAATATGACAATTCTCTTATATACAATGACTATGGCCTCTGATATAGAAAATATCTTTGACTTAATATAATTCAAACTGATCAGACTCTTGTACTTTATTTTTAGATATAAATAAATGTAATTGGCCATTTAAATTATCTGACTGCACAGTTCAAGAGTTGATTCACTCTTGAAGCATGTTCTTTTTGTACGTAATTTTTTTTTTTTCCCCTTTGGATGCTAAAACAAAACAAAAAACAAAATAATATTATAAAAAGAAGCCCATATCATCTCTGGATCCTGCAGCAGGAGTCTGAACAAAAGCATGCCAGTGAATCTGGAAAAGCAAAGAGAAGTTAAGAATTTGATTTTATTGAGACTTGGGTGACTCGATTAAGGATGTTTAAGCAAAAAAGTCCCGTTAATAAAATAGAAAATGTATGCCTCGTTGGGTTCCATATCATTCCTCGTAGTTGCTGGTCCCTTGGCCCTGAGAGCTCACGTCCAAGGAGTGGTGGCCCTCCGGGCCTCAGGTTTTGCCTTAGGTGCTACCAGCTGCAGGTAGATATTGCCATCCTTTGCATTGTTAGCCTATATTTGTATATTATATTGTATATTTATATTTAAAAAAAGTAGGAATGATTAGCAAAAACTATCACTGTACATCCTCCATTTTTTAAAGTACGGTAATATATTTAATCCACAGATTTGCTGTCAAACAGCTCTACCTAAAGGATAACTAATAGCATTACAACCCAGGAGATAAAGGCTACTCCTGAAATGCCTGAATATTGCATTTTAAGGTTGTGTTTAAAAAAATTTTAATGTTTGAATAAAATATTAAGCTTAAAAACTGTTTTTAATTCCCATACAGACTGTTAAATTAATTTCTATTCCAACACAAAACATCAAGGAAATATCTAAATTTGTTCTTAGCACAAAAAAAATAAGGAAAAATATGGCATGTATTTCTTTTTAGCAACTTGGTTATTTTGTTACCTTATTTAACCCTTTAAAGCCTGATCCAAGAATAAAACAAAACAGAAAATTACTTTTTTTTTGTTTGAATTCCTTATTTGCCCTTTTAACAAAATATGTAAAAAGAAAAAACAGAAATACATTTTTGATATTAATAATTTATTACTATGCGATAAGTCAAGATTATTTTTTGTGTAGTCTTCTACTGGCTGTTATCAGGTATATCTGATTGTGTACAATAGGATTTTGAGCAAAGTTTTTACCATTAAATTATGCAAAAGGTGTCAGATGCAAAACATTTCAAACCATATGTATCAAATACGATACATTTGGCATTATAGGGTTAAAATGTGTATCTGACCTGTCACTAAATCACTACTTCAAATCTGTCTCCATGTAAACAGGTGTTCTGGTCCAGGATTCTGACACTGTAAAACACAGTTCTTCTACTTTTAATCAGAAACAGCAGGCTGCATCTTCTGAAATAGGTTTTTGCATTCCTTTAATCTGTAGTGATTGGGTTAGATATTCCATAACAGGTTTCCTATTGAAATGTAACAGAAAACTTTAATCATGGCCTCTATGGACGTTCTTTAAAAAAATATATTTTAACAGCTGTATGCCACAAAACATCATGTTGCTTACATGTAGTCAGTATTTTTTGCAGTTTTACTTTAATTTTATTTATCTGGGCAACAGATTTGGTAAAGAGTTTGACTAATGGTAAAAAAAAAAAAAAGTGAAGCTCCTGGTTCTGCCTGCTCGTACTTAAAACAGGATCATTTTAAAATGATCCTATCGGTGGTTTTACAGGGCATGGAATGATCTTGCTCCTAAAACATTTCACAGTTTCTTGTCTGGTATCAGGGATATAAAAGAGACTGGCAAATGAATTTTTAAAGCAATCAAAACAGAATAATAAGAAGCAGCAGTTTCTGTGCTCCTCAGCTCTTGAATTTTATTATAACCTGATATAGGAAAATGTTTTGGCTTCTTTAAACCAAGGCTATACTGCACTCCTGTAAAGACAATCAATTTATCAGTTTATTTTTACATTTATGTTATAAATGTAAAATGTATCTATGCACTTTTAATAACATGTTTTTATTTTCAACAGAAATCTTTATGGTATTATGAAACCGTATTTAAATTTTGATAAGACACATGACTCAATTGACACATGCGTAAATATGATACAATTATATTATAAACACTTTAGAGGAGGGATGTCAGGATCCAGTCTTCAAGGGCCGGTGTCCAGCACCTTTTAGGTCTCTGCTTTAGCAGACTTGCATCAAATATTTAGGTTCTTTGCAGACCTCTGGAGAACTTGACTTCAACAGGGCAGGCAATCCAGCCTTTTGATTCAGGTGTGATGGACAAGCGAGATATCTAAATCTTGCAGGACATCAGTCCTTGAGGAATTGACTTTGACATCCTTCCTTTAGAGAGTAATGACTGTCCTCAGAAGTCTTGAAAGTTCATAAAAAATAAGAGATAAAAAAAAACACAAAATAAAAGAATATAAAAACAGACAAAATGTATAAGAGATAACAAAAGAGGAAAGGAGGAGGAAAAACATCTCTAAAGAGAAGTACAGTAGACATGATGATGTAGCATGATGTTTTTACATATAGTGGAGATTGTGCCAGAGCAGAATATAGAAAGACTTTGGTCAGAAATGGACTATTTTGTACTTACAGGTGATTCATTTTCTTCACAGCTCTGTGATAGAAGCTGTTTTTAATCCCTTTTGTTCTGGATGTAATTCAACTAAACAGTTTTCATTATGAAGGGGGGACAAAAAAAAATCACATCCTGGATGGGTTGGATCGGTGGAAAAGCATCTGAAAATTTTCTGGAATTGTGCAACATGAACTGAGTCAAGATGCAGCATCCCACAATCTGCTGTTCTGCCTACATCAAATGTCCAAAAGTCCTTCCTCTCCTGTGCAGTGTCGCTTCCATACCACACAGTTATGCTAGGATACAAGATCCCTTTCACCATGGTTCTGTAAATATTATAACTTGCTGAACAGAAACTCCAGATCATTCATTAGCTTTCTGCAATAGAAGAACCATTGTTTGTGTTTTTTCATAAGGTGGGAGGCAGTCCAAGAGAGGTCAGAGGAGACATCCATACGCAGGTACTTTATGATGTCCGCTTTAGTTGTCATAAATTAGAGTTTGAAACTCTATATCGATACCCAAGAAAATATTCAACACTCAACACTATCTCCTATACCGTGAGGATAGAAAAATAAGAAATAATAAAGGCAAGACATTTTTTTCTTAACATTAAAAACTAAATTTTTTCAATATAAACGTGGACTGCTTTCTAAACAGAATCACTGATGCTCATTTAAAAAAGTGTGAAATTAAACACAAAATAGCTCAAATATAACACAAGTGAAAATAGTTTATGGTTGAGGTATTATCCTTTATGCAATTAATCCAGTTACCTTAAAATAATAACAGAAAAATGCAAAGAGCAGTTTTTTTTATTATTTATATCATGCCAAATTAATATTATATCTGGAGTATGGATATTTTTCAGAGTATTGATTTTATGACCAAGTCCACTGTCCACACGTCCCACCTCCTCCCCTTGTAAGAAATGAGGACCACATTCTGTCCTCCTCCAATCTATTGTCTCGCTAATGTTCAGGATGAGGTTTTTGGACAAGAAGACAAGAACAAGAGGCTGATGCTAAAGCTCTGATGTTGGATGACATTCAATCTTCTTGCAGCTTGAAAGGTTGAATTGTGCAAAGAAGCAGTTGAAGGTTTCAGGCAGAGCCAAAGCCTCCCCACATGTTTGGTGGACTGTTGTTATGGAAATGCTCATAAGTTTGCTATTTGTGCTGATGCTGCTTTGCCTGCTAGATGTTCCCTCTCAGCTCTTTTCAGGCCTTTCTGCAACACAATTTGTCTTTGGATTTAAAAGCTGCATCCTGTTTTTTTTTTCTCTCTTTTTATGCATAGTTTGCACTGAGCTATAATCCTATATAGATAGGAGAGCATATATATAGTAATACATATTCCTCCAGGTCAATGTCCTGATATGCACATTTATTTTATGGTAATTTACTTTTGTGTTCTTTTATAGACTTTAAAATA